CTTACCGTTTTGCTCCAGCAGAGTTGGTTGAGTTGAAAGTTCAACTCCAGGAATTGCTCGATAAGGGCTTTGTTCGCCCTAGCGTTTCACCGTGGGGAGCGCCGGCCCTCTTTGTTAAAAAGAAAGATGGTGCCTTGAGATTGTTGGTGGCGGGTGCTGGTGACAGGTAGGTGGTGAGTGGTGGTGGTGGCTGGTGGGTGGCAGGTGGATGGTGGTGGCGGGTGGTGGTGGCAGGTAGGTGGTGAGTGGTGGTGGCATTGAGCTTGCCGGAGGGCATTGTTTGATCATTTTGAGAAGCAACTGATGATTTGCATTGAGTCGACGAGGGCGTCGACAACTCGAGTGGAGGAGGAAGTCGCGATGCGACGACCCACTGCAAGTCAGCTCAGAGGAGTTTGAGTTTGCTCAGAGGAGCTTGAGTTTGCTCAGAGGAGCATTGGCAGAGAGGCCATTTTGAGTTAGCTCGGAGGAGCTTGAGTTTAGAGGAACATCGTTCAGAGGAGCATGAGTTAGCTCAGGGGAGCTTGAGTTTGCAGAGGAGTTTGCTCAGAGGAGCATTGGCGGAGGCCATTTGAGAAAAGGGTTTGGCATTTCAAGAGTATTGGCAAAGGGCAGAGTTTAGAGACGCTCAGAGGAGCTTTGGCAGAGGCCATTTGAGAGAAGTCACCAACAGAGGGTGCAACAAGTGGAGTGCAGTTCAGCTGGGTTTGAGTAGAGAACAATGAGGGGAGCTTGGCTAAGGAGTTAGACGTTGAAGGTAGGCCATCAACACAGAGGTGTTGGACTGATCAGAGGAGCCGGTACACGCACTGCAGCATCAGCTTTGTGCTACATCAACGAGGACGTTGATGGTTGAAGTGGAGGAGAGTGTCACGGGTTGCCTTGCAAGGCCAACTCCGTGACGTTTCGCTCGCAGTGGTGTGGCCATTGGAGTGCTCAAGAGTGGCCGTTGAAAGCGCCGCAACGTGGCCTAACATTGGCCCCAAGTAGCCCAAGTCATGTAGGCCACAAATAGCCATCAAACGGCAAGGCTGTAGCCCATGCCAGCAGCCAACCAGCGCTGCCAGCAGCAGCAAACAGCGCTGCCAGCAGCAGCAAAATACAGCAGCAGCAGCCAGCAGTGGCAGCCAACTGTGCAGAACTTTGGCGCGTTGTTTCGGCATTCAAACGAAGGAGTTTTGGGCTGAAATTTTTACTGAAGATAGGTCTTAGGGGAAGTGTTTTCCCGACCAAGTTTCGTGATTTTTCGTAATTTGTGGAATTTATGAAAATTCATTATGACTCCTCAGACATGTATGATGTTTGCTCCTGCCAAATGACAAAGGGCTTAACAAGCTACTATAAGGGGGTATGGTGTGTTACCTACCTGCCTCCCCGCCCAAACTGGGCTTGAAGTGAGCAACCTTGGGGCAACTCAAGGGTGGGCTATAGGCATCCAGAGGGGTGTCTAGAGTCTCCATGTGGGTTTGGGAGCCCCGTGGACGGTGCGAAGATGTAGGCACTGCGCGACCCTCCCGGGTGAGAGGTCCTCTACGTTGTTTCCACTATGCCACGCGATATGGTATCTTTGGGACTCGTTTTGGACCGAATGGGCTATCGAGGCACCGCTAAAGGCCTCGTGTGCCAACTCTAGTGCTTGGTTTGGGTTCGACCTTGCACGAGGGGATCCCGTGGCTTAAGCTAAGCGGTTGGAGGGCGACACCGCATATGTGGGCTATCAAATGAAAGCATCAAGTTATCCAATGACTACGTCCATTGAGGGACTATATTATGCTACAAGCGAGCTACGGATTGAGACATCGCCTTACTCATGCTACACGTTGGTGCAACGCTAAGGTGCGCAATGGCCTTAGGCGGAATCTAGCACACGTGTTGGCACGAGGACTACGCCATGGGCACGAGATTGGCCCTCGGTGGCTTTTGGGCTTCGCATGACCAAGTGGCCATCCAATATGCATCTATTGAGGCATGCTTGACCCAGCGACACTTCAAGACACTATCAAAGACCCAACGTACAATGTTGGCTTGTCGGCTAAGTTGAGGACCTTCGCTAGCACATTGTTGTGTGGCTAGGCGCCTTGATGACATGAACCTAAGTTGGGCGAGCACCTTGCTTGAAGTAAGCTTGGCGCTATGAAACGACTTATGCCGTGCTTGGTGCACTTGAGGCGTCAGGCCTACTTGTGGCATCCGGGTGAAGACGGAGCTTCCTTGTGAAGTTGTTTTGCTTGACAAAACATTGGGACCTAATGTTCAAACGGGTGAGATCATCAACACTCGATTTGTCAACGAGCTATGGCGGGCTTAAACTTGGTGGAGTTTGAGCGCCTCAAGTGCACCAAGCACGGCATAAATGACAACTACAAATCTGATAGGGTTTGTTAATGGTTCTTCTCCTCCTCCATTATTAACAATCAAAAATGTTGATGGAGCTGAAGAAATCAATCCAGATTATGCACAGTGGAAACAGATTGATGCACATCTCCTGAGTTGTATTACAGCTACACTCACACCTGTGATATTTTCTTCTATTTTGCATCTGCAACACAGTGCAGAGGTCTGGAATGTTCTTTGTAAAAGATTCACTACTATGTCTCGTAGTCATATTCATCAAATGAAGAATCGTTTGAATAATCTGACTAAAAGCTCTCAGACAATTGAAGAATACTTGTCTCAAATTAAAACTCTGGCAGATCAACTTGCACTTGCTTCTTCTCCTATAGAAGAAGAAGATCTAGTTCTTCTCACCTTGAACGGTTTACCAGATGAATTTGATGCCTTAAAGACTACAATTCGAGCAAGAACCGAAGCTATTTCGATGGAGGAACTTTCTTCTCTCCTCTGTTCAGAGTCTCTGCATATTGATTCCAAAACAAAGAAGATTCAGGCACATGAATTCCTCATTGCATATGCTACTACTCGTGGCTCTTTTGGCCGAGGCAGGTCTTCATTCAGAGGTAACAAAGGTGGTTCTAGATTTGGCTACCGAGGTTGATACTCTCCTAGAGGGAGAGGTAGACAATTATCAGGAGGACAACACCACAACAACTTGATTTGTCAAATTTGTGGTAAGACTAATCACTCAGCCTTGGATTGTTGGCATAGGTTAGATGCTACTTATCAGCCACAGCCACAGTCTCAGCAAACTGCCTCTCCATCTTATCAATTTTCACAATCATCAACTGGAACATCAACTAGACTGTCAAACTCTCAAGCTTATGTGGCCTCTGCTCCATCTCACTATGACTCTTCCCCATGGTATCTTGATTCGGCTGTATCTGATCATATGACTAATGATTTGTCAAATCTGAGTCTTCATCAACCCTACCAAGGTTCTGATCATATCACTGTTGGTAATGGTAATTCTATTCCTATTCTTCATACTAGTAAAGGTCTTTTGCCTACTCCACATCATACTTTCAAACTCAATAAAGTTTTGCACACTCCTATTACTTCTAATCTTGTGTCTGTGCATAAACTCACTAAAGATAATCAATGTACCATTACATTTGATGATTCTTCCTTCATTATTCAGGACAAGCACACGAAGGGCATCTTACACAAGGGCCTTAATTCCCATGGTTTATATCATTTTCATGCACCATCCAAGCCTGCATATTCTTCATCAGCTGCTGCTGTTTCTCCTCCTTCTATTGCTCATAATGCTTTCTTTTATTCCACTGCTACTGCTGTGCCTGAAACTGTTTGGCACCAGAGGTTGGGTCATCCATCACCTCTCAAGTTTAATAAACTGAAGTCTTCTCTTTCTGTTGCTTGTAATAAAGCCAAGAATAATGATTTTCCGTGTGTTCATTGCTCTATGGCCAAAAGTCATAGACTACCTTTTAATCTTTCTAACTCCACTGTAAATAAACCTTTTTCACTAGTTCACAGTGATGTTTGGGGACCATTTTTACCATCTGTTTCTGGTTACAAATACTATGTAATCTTTGTTGACGAATATAGCAAGTTTACTTGGCTTTTTCCCTTATGTTACAAGAGTGAAGTTTTTGCTAAATTTGTGGAATTCACAGCTTATGTTGCAAATCAATTTTCTACTCATCTGAAAATTTTTCGCACTGATGGTGGCACTGAGTTTGTTAATTCATCTATGACTCAATATTTTCACACTCATGGTATTCTCCATCAGATTTCTTGTCCACATACACCTCCTCAAAATGGAGTCTCTGAAAGGAAGCATAGGCATATCACTGAAACTGCTATTGCTTTGCTTCATCATTCATCCCTTCCTATCAAGTACTGGTTTGATGCCATTTCTACAGCTATTTTCTTGATTAATCGTTTGCCTAGTTCTACCACTCCTCATGCTTCTCCTTATGAATTGTTGTTCCATCAATCTCCAGATTACTCTTTTATGCGTGTGTTCGGCTGCCAATGTTTTCCCTGGCTCAAACCCCACACATCTCATAAACTACAACCTAAATCTACTTTATGTGTATTTCTTGGGTATCATCCTTCTTACAAAGGCTACAAGTGCTTAGATCCTTCCTCTGGAAAGGTGTATTTGTCTCGTCATGTCATCTTCCATGAGCAAATCTTTCCATTTCGTACCACCTCTGCCACAGCTACAGCTACAGCCTCTGCTGCTCCCCTGTCTCAGACTTTGTCTCAGCTCCAGTCTTTTTTCTGGTCACCTTCTTTAAATTTTCAGTCTTCCTCTCTTCCTAAGTCTGTTTCTATCCCTCTTCTAACTGTCCTGTCTCAGCCTACACCATCTTCTGCTCATCCTTCTCTGTCTCCTGTCTCTACTGATCAGGTTCTTTCTGCTGGTGTCCAACCTCCTTCTTTTATTCCCATTTCTTCTATTTCTATTGATCTTCCTCTTCCTCCTTCTATCCCTAACACACACCCCATGCTCACTCGATCTAAAACTTCTTTTCAAGCCTTATTGGCCTCTTCTTCTGCTGCTTCTTTTGCCTATTTTGACACTGAACCATTGAACTATCAGCAAGCTCTTCAGTCCTGTCTGGCATAAAGCAATGTCGGAGGAATATAATGCTCTTCTAGCCCAGGGTACTTGGTCATTGGTTCCTCTACCTTCTTCCAAATCTGCCATAGGCTGCAAGTGGGTTTTTCGCATTAAGCGTAATTCTGATGGCTCTATTGCTCGTTATAAGGCTCGTTTGGTTGCCAAGGGGTTTCTCCAACAAGAGGGTATTGATTATACTGAAACTTTTAGCCCTGTCGCCAAACAACCCACCATTCGCATTTTACTGTGTGTTGCCTTGCATTATAATTGGCCTCTAAAGCAACTTGACATAAGTAATGCTTTTCTTCATGGAACCTTAGAGGAGGAAGTTTACATGACTCAGCCACCTGGTTTTCTTAGTGCTGCTCATCCACATCATGTTTGTCTCTTAAAAAAGGCTATCTATGGTTTAAAGCAAGCACCGAGAGCTTGGTACTCCACATTCTCTACTTTTCTTTTATCTCAAGGTTTCGTTAACAGTCACTGTGATAATTCCTTATTCATTCAACGGACAGCTTCTACCATCACTATTCTCTTAGTCTATGTTGATGATATCCTAGTCACAGGCAATAATTCTTCTCACATTACCTCTCTTATTGCCCACATGCATACTGTCTTTGCCATGAAAGAGTTGGGGAATATTTCCTATTTTTTAGGGGTCTCCATTAAGGATTGTGGTGATTCTTATTTTCTGTCTCAACATAAGTACGCCTCTAACATTCTTCTTAAGGCTGGGATGGCCAATTGCAAGCCTTGCCATTCCCCAAGTTCTGTCAAGCCTTCTCTCTCTTCAGATTCTCATATTCCCTTTCGTCAACCTGAACTTTATCGCAGTATCGTTGGGGCTCTACAATACCTTACAATCACCAGGCCTGATTTGTCACTATCAGTTAATCAAGCCTGTCAACATATGCATGCTCCAACTGTTAGGCATTTTGCTTCCGTCAAGAGATTGCTTCGCTTTATTCAAGGGACTTTAACTCATGGTCTCACATTCAGTCCTAGTTCTTTTGATTTACAGGCTTTCTCTGACTCTAACTGGGCTGGTGATGTTCTTGATCGTCGCAGTACGTCTGGCTATTGTGTGTATCTTGGTTCGAATCTTATTTCTTGGTCCGCAAAAAAACAACCCACAGTGTCTCGTTCCTCCACAGAGGCAGAATACAGGTCTTTGGCGCATACTACTGCTGAACTCACCTGGTTGCAAATGTTGCTTCGTGAACTTCAGCTTCCTTCCTCGGTTGCTCCCATTTTATAGTGTGATAACCTCTCGGCGATTGCCTTAGCTTCTAACCCTGTGTTTCACACTCGTTCAAAACATATAGAGGTCGATTGTCACTTTATTCGCAAAAAAGTTGCCCGCAAACAGATTTTACTCCGTTATGTTCCTTTTCTGGATCAGATTGCTGATATCTTTACAAAACCTCTCTCTGTGTCTCGGTTTCAATATCTTCAAGCCAAGCTTCTGGTCTCTCCTTCTCCCATCAGCTTGCAAGAGAGTGATAAGACAACCACAACAGCAGCTTCAGCTCCAGCATTTCCAGCTCCAGGTTTAGCTTCAGCTTCAGAATCAGTTGCATCAGTTGCAACTGCTACAGCTCCAGCTGTACATTCAGAATCAGTTACATCAAACACATTGTATAGTTAGTTAGGAAACCAGTTAGGAATTGGTTAAGTGGTTAGGAATTAGTTAAGTAGTTACAGTGATTAGTTATATTTCAGTCTCAGCATTGTATATAAATACTGTTATGTAATTCATAATTGATAAGAAAATAATGAATGTGAATATCCTTTTCTTCACTTCTGCTGCCACATCCATTCCAATCTCTTGTTTAGCTTCTATACTAAGCTTTTTAACTCTCATCTTCTATCAATTTCGGTATTCAAAAGTGTCCCATCTTCAACTTTTAAGTCAATCTCATGGAGCTCCTCCTCTGTGGATTTTAGCCGATGATCAACATTTCTGAAGACCTCCATATTCCATTTCTTCAATGCTATCTTTAGATTTACTAATTTTTCCTTCAGCCTAAAGCCAGCCCATCCATAAGTCTCTGTCTCTGTCAAAGATTTCTTTACCATAGACATAAATTAGGGTGCAAACTCCATGCATTTAGGAACCTAAAAGGTCTAGGACCCCAGTTTCTTTTATCCTCCATCAACACCAATGGACTGTGGTCATAAATACTCCTTGGTAGGCCTCACTACTTAAGACTAAACTTTTCCAACCACAAAGAATCTAATAAAAACCTATCAATTCTACTCCATCTATCACCTTCTACTGAATTACACCATGTAAAGCCCCTCCCTAACAGTGACAAATCTACTAGCTCCATACTCTCGATAAACTCATTAAATTCAATCATTCATTTTTCCCTCATCAGGCAACCCCTTCTTTTATTCAAAAATCAAATTTCATTAAAATCCCCACCAATACACCAAGGTTTGTGAAAAGATGACTTCAGCCTTCCCAATACTTCCCATAATTGACACCTACTCCTCACATCATTAGGAGGATAAATGTTAACGATTACACACTCAAATGATTGCTTAAAAATACTTAATAGAAGTAAAAAATTCCTCATACTACAGCACTCTGAAATCTTGAAGACACCAAGATTCCACACACATAGCAAGTTGTAGCTTGACTTTTTGTGCTCCTTTCGGATACGATAGCCCTACAGTTCGGACTCCCGTGATTTTTTAATCTGATCTCACAAGTGCAATGTGAAATACATAAATACAAAAGAGTCCAAGTCCGACAAATCTTTTGAAAAATTGATTTTGAATCAAAATGTCAAAAATGGACTGCTTTGCCAGATACAGAGTCGCCACCTAAATTTTTTATTTTGGAAAATTTAAGAAACTCAGGACTCGTGCCAAAGACCACTTATCCATCATCACCAAAGTGTCTCGGCGCAGGAACTTATGTACGAAAAGAGAAGGTCATGAATTGAGCACCCCCGCTCGCCCGATCAAAGATCGGCCTCTACTAATCATGATGTGATTCTTATTTACATTTATATGCTCTTGTTCTGATTATTAGACTAACATTTACTATGTGTTGCACACAAGTATAGACTAATTTGTAAAAATTGGAACATTCGATTTCATGTTTGTTTTGAAAAATTATTTTGAATATGTACCACCAAGGCAAGCAAGTATAGACTAACATTGTTTCAAAAAATTGTTGCACACAAGTATAAACTAATTTGTAAATGTTATTAGACTAACATTTACAATGCTCACCTTGTACTCCAAGGCAAGCCAAAAGAAACAAAAGAGTTAGAAAACATGCATGCCCCTAACTAATGCAACACATGCAATGATGCAATTAATAGGCTCGGCTACTAATTTTGACATGTGAATCAATTTGATAGCATGTGGTTTAAACACGTATTCAACGAAATAATAAACGACAATGCTTGTTAGAATGATGAACCGAGTCTCGATTCATGCAAGACAAATGGATGCAAACATGGACAATACTAAAAGAAACATGATGTGCTACACTATCCATCATAAGCAAGTAAATAAAAGGAGAAAGATGTGAGGTTGGAAGACATTATCACATATTTTGCCATCGCGCAAGAGGGTCCGAATGAATGAACTAGCTAAGCTACTTAACTAATTATTACAACACCGAACATAACTAACTATTCTAGCTAATTAAATAGTTACAACGCAAAATTAAATCAACTAGCTACTCTAACCAATTAATACAACTTAACTAACTAAACTAACCAATTAGTTACATTAAGGAACTAATTAACTAAGTAATTAATTACAAGTTGTACAACATACTACTATTAACAAATGTAACGAGTCCCAAGAATCGAGGGACGATTCATGCATGGAGGTGGATTTCCACTCGAAAAAACCCTATGTTTTGCTACCGGAATGCCTTTGTTGCACAGTTAGAAAATTGCACTATTTTTCCACCTCAGCCTCTGCTCTGCTGGAAAGAGACACTGCCTGGCTGGAAAAAGTGGCCGGTAACCCAGAAGTAGTGGCCTGCCACCCAGTAAAAATGGTCTGCCGACCATTGATGTTGAATTTCTCCTGCTGCAACAAAGAACAAACAGAGCGCAACAGAGCATTCTCAAGGGATGTTGGTCCACCCTACCCCTCCTTATCATCGAATAGCTCAAATGAGTGGTAGGCCCGATTTGCAATCCATCAATCGGCGCAAATTCATTGCGTGATAATTTATGAACCAAGGGATACAATTTCAATAAATGCACAATGAAAGACTCATGAACCTCCTCCCTATCATGATATTGATCAAGGGAAGTGGTTGACATCGACTCTTGAACTGTTTTCATCACTAACAAGTATGAAACGACTCAAGACTCAATGGGTTCAATTAACGTCCGATTGAACCCCAAACCATTTTATTATCTTGTTACCTCTTTTAAGCCATTGATTACCTTTTTTAGTTACCTTTCCATCCATTAGTCATTTTAGTCCAAAATGAGCATTAAGTGCACTAATGGAAAGAAGTATCAAACAAAAGGTTATTTTGGACATGAGAGAGATGTCATGCCATTGGTAATAAACCCCTAAAGGGATTAAATTGTTAAGCACAATACCTCTATCTCAAACTTAAACAAGCAATTGGTTTGAAACAACTTTCAAAGTAAAGGAAAAGCCAAGAAATGAGGGAGGTTGCAGAGATGCTTAAAGGTGAACATAAGTATGGAAAGCTTGAAATAAATGTTATCGACTCAAATAGGTTGGTGTCTAATGCCTAAAACACCAAACCTATGAGGACCATTACACTACAATTATGCAATACAAAGCATAAATGAAATCAACACATAAAAACAATCCTAAATTAGCTCAAAACAGTGCTGGAATTAAGGTAAAAACATCTAAAAAGTAAGCTAAAATAATGGAGCAATTAAGCTAGCAAACAAGCATAAGGAGGGGTGGGTAACCCCTTCATTTTTGGGACTTCAAAACAGCATTTTTATCCTCCGAAAAACTCTGAAATTCAACGGTACAAAGCTCAAAAAAGTTGAGAAAAAAAGGGGAAACCCAAGGGCAAAAGCTTAGAGAACAAGGTTCAAAGAATGGTGGTTAACCCCTCCACCTTTGGTAGCTTTAAACCAAAAGTTTCAGCCCATAAAAATAGTGTAAAAATAGTTCAAAATCAGCAAGAAAAGATAGAAAACAAGTAGTGTAAAGATGCTCAAAATTATACCTCTTGAAGCAAGGCAACTATTTTGTTAACAAACCCACAAGTTCTCACTCTCAATGGCTGAAATTTGGACTCAATAATCTTAACAAGAAGAGCTCTAATATTGGTTTAGGAAGTGTTTGGGTAAGGTATGTGTGTTGCAAGATAAAGATAGAGAGAGAATTTCAAGTTCTGGTCCTTAAGGAATTTTTTGTAACCTAAAAACATGAGGGTTGGACTTGTATATATAGAAAAACAATCTCTCAGATTGGAAATATCTATATAGCAACAACTAGAGCTTTTGGGGGACAGCTGGCAACAAATATCTGTGTTTTATACAAGTGGCCGGTAGGCCACTAATAGTGGGCAGCCGGCCACAAAAATCTACTTCCAGGCCGAAATTTAAATGGACATATCTCCTTCATCTAAACTCGGTGTTAGGTCATTCTTGAGTCTAAGCTGAAGCCCTGGAAGTCTAATTTCCAATGGTGTGGCTTCACATCTAAATTCTAAGTATGCAAAGAGATATGCCTATTTTAGTGAAAGATGTTCATTTCTTTCTTAATCGGATTGATGCCTAACTTCAAATGGCCATATCTCCTTCATCCGGACTCGGCTTTAGGAGATTCTTGAGTCTTAATTGAAGCCCCGAAAGTCCACTTTCCAATGGTGGTATCCTCACAACTAAAATCTAAGTGTACAAAAAGATATATCTATTTTAGTGAAGGTTGCTCAGTTCTCTTTTAATGGTTTCATGCTCAGCCATTTCCCCAACTAGTTTTCTTTCATCCCCTCTAATTTTCTTCAACTCCAAACCTATAAACAAGAGGTTTTAAATATTTTCAAAGAGTTCACCTGCCTTCCATTTATTTCCACTTTGTCCTTACTCGGTTTACCAAAAATTGCAATGTTTTAAATGAAATACGAGCCTCGGAACATTGTAGAAGCATTTAAAAAAAATATTTTGAAAAAAAAGGTGTAAGGTTGGGATTGAGAATGGGGCTTTTCGTTTATGGATTGGAAGGTTAAGGAGTGTTTTTAGATCTGTTCCTGGGAAGAAGGATTGGCGAAAATTTTTC